CCTCCCCGCCCCTCCAGACCCTCCCCGCCCCCGCAGACCCTTCCCGGCTGCGGAGCGGCTGGGAGCGCCCAGGGAGGAGGGAGGCGGCCCTCGGGGAAGGGGTGCCAGGGGAGTCCTGCACTCGCAAAGGCAGCACCTGTGTCCCCATGCGTGGTCAGCCAGCGGGCCTCCAGCCAGTTCCAGGGCGGTGAGGCTTGCTTGGGAGACATCCACACTCCATCCCATGGCTCTGGAAGGTTGGCGTGGCCCGCGGCAGCAGGGCTCAGGCTGTGCCCAGGGTCAGGACAGCCTGTGACCGAGGTCGGGGCTCAGCCGGTTGCCAGGGTAGGGGCTCAGCCTGTGACCAGGGTCAGGACAGCCTGTGACCGAGGTTCCCGTCTAGACTGGCACCAGAATAAGCTCCAAGTGCTCTCTTTGGGTAATTTTTAAGACCTTCTCTGTCTTGGCATTCTACAGTTTTACCAGCGTATATCTAAGTGTGGGTGTGTATCTAAGTAGCAGTGCGCCACTGGGCTGGCCCTTTTTTGCCCTTTTTGAGACCGGCCGCACCGCGTTCAGCCAGTGAGCTCACTGGTCATCCCTATATAGGATCCGAAACCACGGCGGGAGCGCTGCTGCGCTCCCAGCACCACGCTCTCCCGAGTGCACCACGGGCTCGGCCCTGTGTTTCCTTTTTCTATGGATTCATACATTTCATCAGTTCCGGAAAACTCTCAGCCTTTATCTCTGCAGTGTTGCCTCTTGTTCACCGTCCGTGCTCTCCGGTCGTTCTCTTTTACCTCCCATGTCAGGTCACTGCTTTTTCTTGCTTTTCCTCTCCTGTCTCTCTGTGCTGCATTCTGGACAATGTCTCCAACTCTCCCTTCTGGTCCCGGTCCTCTAATTCATTCCCTGCGTCTACTCTGAACAACTCACCCACTTAATTTTAGGTTATTATGTTATCATATCTAAAAGTTATATTTAGGGGCCGGCCCGGTGGCGCACTGTTACAGTGCGGGGCTTGGGAAGCGCGGCGGCGCTCCCGCCGAGGGTTCGGATCCCACATACAGACCGGCCGCTCACTGGCTGAGCGAGGCGCGGGAGCAACGCCGAGGGTTGCGATCCCGTTGCCAGTCCCGGTCCGGTATGGGCGCGAAACTGAGGGTTGCAATCCGTTGCCGGACACGGAAAAAGACAAAAAAGGGAAAAAAAAGTTATATTTAGTTCTTTTTCAGTCTCATCACATTATTATTATTATTTTTTTTTTTTAAAGATGACCAGTAAGGGGATCTTAACCCTTGACTTGGTGTTGTCAGCACCACGCTCTCCAAAGTGAGCTAACCGACCATCCCTATATAGGATCCGAACCCGCGGCCTTGGTGTTGTCAGCACCGCACTCTCCTGAGTGAGCCACGGGCCGGCCCTCATCTCATTATTTTTAATGGTGCACACTCACTTTTTTGGGTTCCAGCTTTAATTTCTTAAACACTTCATATATAGTTATTTTATATTCTGCACCGAATAATTCCAATTTCCTAGCCTTTGTGGGGTCTAAATATGTTGTTCGTTATTTCTGCTGATTATCATTAATGGTGCATTGTTTCTTTGAACATTCGGTAATTTTTTAAACTTATCAATTCATCTCAATGACAATTCTGAGGTTCTACCTTGGGGACACTTCCTTTCAGAGAAGATTCCCCTTTGGGAGGCGTGACCAACCGGGGCCTCCCTTGAGGTCCTTGAGGGTCCTGATTGAGTAGCCCTCTGTGCAGAGCACCCACCCATGCTTCCCTGATGGCAGCCTGGGTCCCCGCCGTGTCCTGAGAATCCTGCTTTCCCACCTGCTTCCCGTTATCAACCTGAGTTTCTGCTCACTGTGTTCTATTTCTTTTTTGTTTTTTTACTACTTATTATTTTGGGCGGGGGAGCTTGAAGATATTTACTTCCTTACAAATTCAGAAGTGTATTAAAATTGTGTGCTCATTGTAACTCATCCAGAATGTAGCTGTAGCTGAAAGGCCTCTTAAAGGATATATGACCATATGACCAGCAGGGTTCAGCCTGCGACCAGGCTTGGGGCTCAATCTGTGGCCTTGAGCACAGCCCGGTGTGTGGCTGGGTCAGGTGCGGCAGGAGTCTTGGGTTTTCCGGCGTGGATCTGCGTCCAGCGCAGATGCCTTTCATGGTCAGATGAGAGCCGGGCGTGTCTCCAGGCTGCCAAGGAGAGCTTCCCTTGGGCTGAGGCCGCCTTCCTTCCCCTTCTGCCCCAGGCTGGGCAGGCTCTGGCCACCACCAGAGGTTGAGGATGAAGATTCTCCTGGGAAACCCTTGGCCGGGATCTGCCTGGCCCTGGATCATCAAAACAACAGCTGGGCCCAGCGGGGGTGGGGAGGGAGGCAGTGGGAGAGGCTCCCCCGGCTGAGCTGCGCTGCGCTGGGCGCGGAGCTGTGTCCTCGCAGCGGCCTGAGGCAGCCTGTTTCCTAAAGGTGCTTCCCAGCTTCCCAGGCCCGCCCTGAGGCCCCCGCACGGCCTCTAGCTGGCCCCGGGGTGTCAGCGGCAGGACGGTGGGCGACCTGCCTGGCTGGCTCACAGAGGAACACCTGCGGGATGCTGGCGGGCGGCCTGCCAAGGGCCCTAGGGGTCTGCTCCTAGAGAGACGGGAGAGCAGCTTGGAGAACAGGAGGCTGGCCAGCTGGCAGGGACACAGGACAGAGGCACGGCGGGAAAGCGGAGGCTGCGTGCTGGGGGCCAGGAACTGACCTGCCAGAGAGCCAGAAACAGGTCCCAGGGCCCTGGGGGGCCCGGAGGACCCTCGGTTCTTCCGGCACTGTCCTCTCTTGGCCTCTTTCCTGTCTCCTGAGTGGTCTTCTTTATTTGCCACCGTCTGGGCAGGCTCCTGGGAGGACGGAGTGGCATGGAATGAGGGGGAGGTAGGTGCCCTGGCCCTGCAGCCACAAGGCTCTCCCTCCTCTGAGGCCTGGGGTTCCAGCCCCTGCCCGTCTTGACTGTGCTTCTGCTCACCTCCCACAGCCTCTTTCCCTGCCAGCCTCTCTCTTCCCAGCCTCTCTGCCTCCCTCTCTCCATGGGACCAGGGCCCCAAACTTCTCAAGGCAGAGAAGCCAAGCCACTGGGCAGCTGGCTGGAGATTTCCACCTTGGGGGACGCAGGCTCTTTCCCCAGTGGCTGAGGCGCCTGCCCTGTGAGAGGGATGCATGCATGTGCATGTGTGTGTCTTCTCTGCCTGCTTCCCCCTCATGCCGCAGGAGGGAGACACTGTCCCCACCCCACAGGTGAAGAGACAGCTCAGGGAAGTTCCTCAGGGAGGTCATTTATTCATTCACGAAGCATTTCCGGGTAGTCAGGTGTCTGCAGGCACACCCCCGGATGAGTGAGCAGCTGGGAGGGCCCCAAGGATTTCGCCAGCTCTGTCCCCTGGCCTGTGCTCTGGTGGTGGGAGGCCTGCCCCCACCCAGGCATGTGGGCTGGGCACAGCAGGAACTGAGCTGGGGGGGGTGGGCTGGGTAGGAACAGGCAGAGCCTGGCACACGGTCTTGGGGCTAAGGCGCCTCCTGCTGCCACTGGGCCCCCCACTGTGGCAAGTCCCCACCAGGCACTGTCATAGGTCTGTGCCTCCCTACTCTATTGTTCCCCATCCAGGCCCCTGGGAGCCTCAGGAGTGCCCAGGGGCTGCTGCCGAGCCTGCCTGGACCCTACTTGGGAATGGGGAAGGGCACAGTGGTCACCTTTTTATAGCAGGGGGGACTGGAGCTAGGGATCCCACCTCAGAAAGGGCACCACGGTTCAGTCAGTGGCACAGGCTGAAAACCCAGGAACGTTCTGGGCCCCTGTCTTTCTCTCTGGCTCCCACCCCTGCCCCGTGGGCTCTGCGTGTGATGGCTGCTTACCTGGGCGACTCCCTCAAGGCCTGGTACGGTCCCCCACCCTGCTTCTGCACAGCCTTCTCCCAGCACTGAGAATCCCATCCGCCTCCCCTGTGGCCTGAAGGCCCTGCAGCACACCCTGCCCTCTCTGTGCCCTGGCCCAGGCCCTCTTACTGCCCTCACACACGCACAGCCTCCCGGGGTCTTGGCACTGCTGTCCCTCTGCCTGGAAGCGCTTCCTTCTGGAGTGCCTGCCTTCAACACTGCTTACCCCCTGGTCTCCCACGCGCCATCCACCCGGGGCCTTGGTGTTATCAGCACCGCACTCTCCCGAGTGAGCCACGGGCCGGCCCAGCAGGGTATGATTTTAAAGGCTAACATTCTCCCTGCCTTTCGTTTGTCACGACAGGTCCTATGGTCATTTATGAATTATGTTGACTTCCCCTTTGGATTTCTTGAGAGGAAGAGGTTTGCTGAACACCGGGAACTTCCTTACTTCTGTCCCAAGGACGGTTTTTAGGTTTGTTCTACACTGGAGTGGAAAGAGACATCGCCCCAATTTGGCCACAGGAAGCATTTTTGTCCATGCGCTTCGTCGACTTGAATCACATTCACTTTATGGTCACGTTTGCTCTGGCAGCCATTCCCCCCTTAACCCACTCACTTTGCCACCAACCCACTCTTCTTTCTTTTCTTTTCTTTTCTTTTTTTTCTAAAAAGATGACCGGTAAGGGGATCTTTACCCTTGACTTGGTGTCGTCAGCACCACGCTCAGCCAGTGAGCGAACCGGCCATCCGTATATGGGATCCGAACCCGTGGCCTTGGTGTTATCAGCACCGCACTCTCCCGAGTGAGCCACGGGCCGGCCCGATGTGCATCTTTGCTAGCATGGCCACTGCCTGTTCCCCTCCTAGCCTGGCAGTGCTGGGAGGACAGGGGCTCTGCCCGGTGCCTGCGTGTCACCAGTGCAGAGGCTGGTGTGTAGCCAGGCCCAGCACAGAGATGACCAACAGAAGGATGCAGATGGGGTGTCACCCACCCCCCACCCAGGCCACCCAAATGCCCGGGTGTCTTCCTGCCACCCTAGCTGTCACTGGCAGGGGGACTGGGTGGGGTCAGCTCCGGGACCAAAGGGGGCAGGCCTGGGCTCCTGAGGAGACAGACAGGACCCCAGACACTCAGGACCAGTCCTCAGGCCCTAGCATGTCCCCAACCCCAGATGGGCAGGTTGGGACTACAAGTTGGGTGGGCAGCAGGAAGGAGCTGCTGGATCTGCTGCTCTCCGCTGCCCCCTGCCTCTGTCCCACTTGTTGTGGGGTGGGGTTCCGGTGCTTAGGCCCACCCACACCCCTGCCCCAGACCCGCGGCGCCATCCCACTGCTTCCTGTGTCTGTGTCCCTGGCGTATGCGTGGGTGCATGTGGGAGATGCGAACAACATGAAGACTGCACCACACAGGCGCAGGGTGGGGGCCCAGGCTGCGCTGCCCCCAGCTGGGGTCAGAGGGCCCAAGAGCTGCCCTTTTCCTTGGGGTCAAAAATGACCACAGCGAGCTGGGACAAAAGGCCCTTCTTCTTCTTTGTAGAAGCCTGGATTGTGTGGAGGAGGGAGCATTCTCGCCGACCCGGGGCGGGGACGGGCGTGCCGGCTGAGAGCAGTGTCCGGGGGGTTTCCCGGAATCGCTCACCTGTCTGCAGACAGGGCAGGCCAGCTCCGGCACTCCCGACTAGGGCCAAGGCCATGGGGACGGGCTGCCGCAGCCACAGGGGCTGCTCCTCCATCTCGGGTCCCTAGGCCACCAGGATGCAGGGGCTGCATCTGGGGGAGGCAGAGGGCTGGGGCCAGGGCCTTGCCGTGATCTGGCCTGAGCCCCGGTGTCCTTGCCTCTGTCACATCTCTGCCTGCTCGCCCTTAGGCCTGTCTCCCTTTGACGATGAAGCTTCCGGCTCATTATGTTGCTGCTTCCTCTGTCGTCTGCCTCAAGCCCAGCCCTGGCCATGGCCCTGGCCCTGACTGCAGCACCCCTGGCTGACCCCCGTTCTTCCTGGTGCCCTCTGCCTGTCCGTGTGTCTCCTCTGGGGATGGGGACAGTAAAGGACACGGGGATGAGACTTGCAATGCTGCCCAGCACGGATGGGGGAGCAGAGCAGGTGGAAAGGGTCTCGCAGGGTCGGGCAGGAGGTCAGTGGGAGCAGCGGGAATGACGGGGCAGAGCTCAGAGCGGCCGCCCGCGCCTGCTCCCTCCGATGCGGATGCGGATGCGGAGGCCGGAGGGCGGACACACGGCCGAGGAGACCCACTCACTCCTTCCAGAAGGGACGGAAACTTCCCTGCCAGCCCCGCAGGCTCAAGTGTGACTGTGGGCTCGAGAAGTGTGGGGACAAGCAGGGGACTGGCTGTGAGGAACTGCCTGCCCACGGGGCGGGTCCACCGCGGCCCGAGCCCCTGCCCAGCAAGGGGAGGATGAAGCGTGCACCTGGGGTGCTCCTGCCGCAGGCCCCCTCGGCCCGCGCGGGGTCCCCTGGCGCCCAGCTGCCGTGCTTGTCCTCCAGCTCCGCTCACAGCGCCCGTGTCCACTGCAGTCCTCGTGGGCTGGGGCTGGGGCCAGGTGAGGCCCCTCTGGGCGCACGGCCGGGGTGTCGGGGGCCCACGCCCACGGCTCCCCTCACGGGGCCTGGCGGAAGCGCCAGGCAGCTTCTGGTCTCGGCCGAGGCCTGAGGTCTGTGGAGCTGAGCCAGCACCACCACTGCCAAGATTCCCGGCAAGGGGGTGGGGGGTGGCGGCAGGGACACAGTTCTTGCTTGTTCCTGCCCCAGCTCCTCAGGCTCAGCTGGGCCACTTCCTTTTTTAGGCAAAGTCTCGAGCTCCAGACGTCTCATGGCCCCACGATGTCTCACCTGCCAGAAAGGGAGGAAGGAAAAGCATTGAGTCCCATCCGTCCTCCCTGCTGAGCATCCTCCCGGGAGGGTGGGAAGGGAGGGGACATCCTGGCAGACACCCCCCACGTCATGCGTGCCTATGTGTGCCCTACCCCGCAGCTCCAAGGGGAGGAGGGGCTGGGAGAGGGCCATGGGTACCCCACGGGAAGCCTCCTAGGGGAGCAGGGTCGGGGCGCTCCTGAACCTCAGCCCCAGCCCAGGGGCACACTCCCTGCCCAGCCTCACCTGAGGGCTCGGAATCTGCCAAAGAGGCCAAGTGCCCCTTGGGACATCCCCTGTAAACAGTCGCCTCTGGTCTGGGCCTAGCTAAAATCCCAGGACCCAAGAGCTCCTGACTTACCGGTGGGCCCCTGGGGGGTTGGTGCTTAGTCCTGGAGTTTGACCTGGGCCTGGGTCCTGGGCCCCTCACTGGGCAGTATGTACGTGGACAGCAGTAGGCCTAGTGTGGTCACACTGGCAGCGGCCGAACCAACCATCTCCCACCCCTACACCTCTTCCTCCAAGAAGCCTGGGTGGGGTGGGGGCTTTGCATCCCCTAAGAAACTTCCCCTCAAGATTCTGTCCCCTCCCAAGGCACTGTGTCATTTCTAGGTCTGACCCTGGCCCTTCCAATCGCTGCTAGTCAGCCATTGGGGATGCATATCCCAGCCCCCCAAGTCATCTACCCCTCCTCCAGCCCTGTAGCCAAGGCGAAGAAGCCAGGGCCTGCATCTTATTGGGGGTAGGGTGTTGTTCTCGGGGTCCCCCAACCTCACCCCCTGGGCCCGGAGTCACGGGCAGTGCTGGGCATGTGGACGACCGAGCCTGGCGACTCCCTGCTTGGCTCTGGAGTTGGGGGCAGTAGGGGGTGGAGAGGGCGGACTCCACGGCGCACAGCCCGGGAGGGGGGACCGGGGGTCTGCGTGAGTGCATGCCCGAGCGCGCGCGCCTCGCTCCTGTCCCAGTTCGTGCCGCGTGTCACCACGTGTCTGGGTCCGCTCGTGCGCGCGCTTCTCCGGAGTCTGCGCGCGGCGGCGTGTGCACGCGCGGCGAGTACGTGCGGCGGGGGGCGGGGG